AGGGTTTCCGGAGCGGGCGGGAGAGGGTTAAGAGCCAGCCAGGACTTGTGTCCTTCCTGGCGCATTACCTGCATTCTCTCCTTGTCTGGGCGAACAAATACTCCGTTAGCTTGAAAGGGTCTTGCGGGGCATACTGCGGAAGAGGCCACGTGCGGGCCAGCACAATTAAGACACTTTATCGGTGTCATACATGGGCCGTTGTGTGAGTCTGACGCACAAAGTCCGCATCGAGCTCTCCTGGTGCAGGCATTGATGTTGTGGAATCCATAGCAGCGCTGACGGACTTGGAGGCGTGGGCAATTGTCAGCCGGTCGAATTTTGGCGGACCGAGCAAATAGGCGGACGCTGCAGGGGAGTTTATCTGCAGCTGGCTTTGCAACTACCAGTCGGAGAGTACCTTCCCATTCTGGGGATGCCAGATAGTTCCGTGTCTAGCTGATTGAAAATTTGATTTTGTATCAATTTTTGCTGCTGCAAGTTCTTCCCGGATGTCTGCAACAGAGAGGGCTTCGGGAGATCCGGAAGCATTGTACCCATATTTAGGGATAGGGCTAAGGAGAAAGTTCTCTCGTTTTTCATGTCTTTCGATAGGCACAACTTCTGTAGCGGGCTGTAGAGCAAGGGCTGCTTGCATGAGTTCGGGGGCCTGATCGGATGAGGGGGCCACGAGGGCTATCCCAGAAGGGACCGACCTGATATCCTTGATTAGTTCCGCTTTTTCGAGAAATTTTCTCAGCTTTGTACGGACCAGAAGAGAATCTTGGAATCTCAGAGGGTGGTCGGGTGCTAGGCGTATCATAACTCTAGAGTCCGGCATGTTTTTTTCTTTGAACTGGTAACCCTGGGCGTAGCCTTTGGAGGGATTACAGGTACAGTCAAGTTCTTCTTCGCAGCATTTGCGTATGTAGAACTTGCGGGTGGTTCTAGTTGTGGGGCTAGCTGTGCGCTAACTTTTACGTTTGCAGTAGTTTGAGACTGCTCGAAGACAGGAAGGCCTGCAATGACTCGTGCAGCACTTCGCGTCACGATAGCTTTGAGGTCCGCAGCGATTGTTGGCGGTAGACCACGTAGATGTTGGGCTCCAGCATTTTGCCAGGCCAACAATGAAGCGGCTATGTTATTTGTCATAGCTGCCGAGGGTTGTTCGATAATCCGCGCTGTTGTACGCGCGCTAGATCGTGGGAGAGTTAAGGTAGGTTGTTGCTCAATTGCGACGTTATGTTTGGTGGACGCTTGGATGGAACTGGAGATACCCTGAGTAGAATCTCTTCTCGGAGGTTATTTGAGGGGATGCAGTTGGGTAGCTGTTGCTGATACTGAGGCTGGCGTTGGAGAGAGGGAAAGGTTTTCAGAGGAAGAGTTGGAAGGACATTTGTTTTCCAATCCGAGGTTCAAGAACTTGTCTTCTGAGTCCATGTAGATGGGTTCAGCTGGAGATTGTAGCAGCTCAGCTGCGGCTGCTAGGATAACTTCCTCCTGAACAGTTGGGAGCGGAGGGCGACGCCTCGCACGTTTGAATGCGCGCGAGACAACACGAGCAGGGGACACGAGTGTCGTGGGGATTTTACGCCTCCCGGGGGGCATCTTGACGTCTTGGGCCGATGAAAAGTAGGAAAATTGAGTCACGAGATATATTTTAGCTTGGGGAAAAAACGTGTGCTTGTTGTGCGACCTTTTTTTTTTTTTGCATCAGATTTTAATTGCGTATGCAGCTATCTAGCCATGACACAATATCAAAGAAAAGTACAGAAAAGATGACTCAATTTACAAGGGGAGCACTCATGCCTCGGATTTCATTTGCAGGTACAACTGCGAAGTTATGGTGGCTTTTTCTTCACCCCAAATCCACCCTCATTCGTGAACACCCACCCAGGGGAACGTCTCAAAAACCCTGAGTTATCCAGACATGCCTCCGTCATCCATCAACTTTTCTCCGCGCGAAATATGATCTGAGGCGTCTCCTTCCCAAGTGGAGTAGGTGCCCAGGTGTTACGGGCTGTCCCCGGATTGGGACTGGTCACTAGGACCAACCCGGCTAGATCTTCAAGCGCCAACGAAACAGCGCTTACAGAGACGCGAAAGGTTGCATGGGGAAGAATGCAAGGATACGCACAAAGAGGGATCTAAGTGTTGCATAAGGATTAATGCAAGGTTGCGCACAAGAACGAGTCTCAGTGTTGCATAAGGATAATTGCAAGGTTGCGCATGAGGAAGGACCCAAGGGAGTACGTACTAAGGGGGGGAGGATGTCACAGGAAAGAGGGTAGCCGGGGAGAATGGAGTATTCTCAGGTAGGCTAGGAGGGGAGCTTAAACGCGACGCTGAGGAGGACATAAAGGACAGGAGCCGTTGTAGGCAGATTAGCTTCCTAAGGAAAAATTATCAATTCCTATTGAGTTAACGTCTTTCAAGTACTTCTGAATTCTTTAAACCCTTTACACCAGGCTACTCAAACCATACCGGAGAACACCAACAGGAGGCGGACCACAACACCTTCCATCGTTTGCTTATTTTTATAGTGTCAGCTGCACTCTCGCAAGCGAAATCTTGGCGCGCACAAAGCTCAATTTGTAAAAGCTCTTTGCCAAATTTCGAAATTTCACGCCCTTCGAGGTTATATCTTTCCTTTGCATCATCTTATGAACTTGTCCTGATCCCTCTCACGTCCATCCCAAAGAGCTATCTCTCAGATTTGTGCTCCACGCTTTGCTTCCTCCGTCGGGTGTAAATATCGGCGTGGGCGTGTATTTGGTGACCGGCTGAGGCCAGAGAAAGTCGACGAGAGGTGTGGTCATTGAAACGAAGATGTACTAGGTCGTACTTGTAGACTTGATGAGGCTTAGTTGAGAATCGGACTCTTTGGGAGTGAAAGATTGACATGGTGGAGTAATTTGAATTTTTGCCTCGTGGGCCAACTTCTTTGGTATTGCGAAATTTGACTGAACTTGGCTCTGGGAGAATATTTCACTCCCAGGTTCGTAGAGGACACCGCGTACAGGTGTTCAGTCTTGCCCTCCTTGTTGTGCGACCTGATATGAGCGGATGCATATTGAAGTTTAGTTAGCTCTTGTTATAAGGTCATGTGACAAAAGAGGACTGGGAGTTATGAAGTCATCAAAGGTAATCCGTGCGTACAGATTTAAAGAAAGGGCGGTTTATGTAGTTGAACTTCGATCGGGAACCTTAGTGATCTAGTTACAATATGAGATTGAGCCAATAACCATTACAATTATAATTTTATTGCCCCATGTCAATAATATATCCCCTCCTATGCCTCCCATACAGCTCCCCCCTAGAGATTAGATTCTATTTTTTTTTTTTCATTATAGTCCCTACTGAGTCTAAGACTATAGAGGACTTTGTGAATCTAACTAAAGATTCTAATTACATTTGAGAAATTTAATTTTGAAATATGTCAAAATTTGTTCTTATAGATAATGAGAGCCAAGCCCTCCAGCTCCCCCCCAAACAGTACCGCCCCTCACAAGTCCTCACTCGTTCTTACACTTGGAGGAGCCCATTACTCTTCATCATCTCCCCTCTCCAGCCAACGGTATGGCAGCCGGGAAAAATTGCAAAAACCACTGGGTGCGAAGCTCTCCTAATACCGACATGAGGACTAAATCCGGAGACATATTGACCCTTCTGAAGCGTTCGAAGAGGCCGACCAGCTGTGCACTGCAGACTTGTGTGTAGCTCGAGAAATTTAATCTCTACCTTTCTAGCCTTCTTCTTACTATTTCCCGAAAGGTCGCGCTGGGTTGTCAGAAAAGTCTTGACGGAGTGTGATTGCTTCGTGGGCGTGAGAGAGGTGTGTTTATTGTACTACTTGAGTCTTAGACTATCTAGCACATTGGGCTTCTCTCTGGCCCAGACTACACCTTGTACAGTGCTCCTTGCCTCTTTTGTTGCTTGAAGGATCGTTGATATATTGCCCGTGATGAATAGCCATTCAGCCCAGTATTTACCCGTGGGATTCGTGTGCGTGAATTCGAGTGCCACTTTAAGGCAGACACTGATTAGACGAGAGGTTTGGTCATTGAAATGAGGATGCAATAGGTCATACTTGCACTCTTTGGGAGGCTTTTGGTAGGCAGAGATTAATGAGGTAGGAATTCTTGACTCATTGTCTTCTTGGCCAATTTCTTTGGCAATACAAAATCTGACTGAAGTTGGCGCTGGGAGGATATTCCACTCACACGTTAGAGGAGACGGGCTACAGGTGCCGAGTCATCGTCCTCTGACGACATAATTAAACAGCCATAACTTGCCTTGTGAGTGGCTGCACAACTCACCATAAAGTGGCAATCTTGCACTTGAACTCATCTTTAAACTCTGTCGCAAGACAAGTGATAGCCAAGAGCCCGGGCAACGCATGCATGCTCTTAATTACTCTCCTTGCCCTCTTGGCGTTAAATGTTTCTAAATAAAATAAAAGCTGTTAAATATTCCGCTAGCTCTCCAATCTGCAGGGAATAGATTTTGCATTGCAGACGACTGAGTGAAGAAAAGATCCTTCCGATTCCAGAATTGAAATCATTTCAGGGCTCACTTCCTTCAGTGAAGATGGTTAAATGAGCCTGACATCGATAATGCACATACGTGCCCAGAGTCCACTCTAGAATTAGTAAATGTATCACTGAGTCAGTTAGGATGGTGAGTGTCGTAATTCCTGCGGCACTTTGAAGTGATTTTACTCGGATCCCACCGTAACAAGCAACATGTAGGACCGGCTAAATTCTCGACCAGCTTATTGACCTTTACATCCTTCTCTCTCTCCTGCACTCGAACATTGTTGTGCAAGCCTCTTTCGTGCGCAGTTACTAGACATTGGGACCTTGTCGTCCTCTATCGCCCTTGGAAAAACAGAAATATTTTGTTATTGTTCTTTCCATAATATTATACGATCTAAGAGGAATCACTGAAAGATCAAGCCATATAACCCCTTGAAAAACTCTAAACGATACAGCGAATGTAACACACCTTGAAAGCTGTCCACTATGGGCTGCGCTTTCGCATTTCTCCTGGCAGCCACTGGGCGTATGGTTATTACAGGCTCAAATTACAATGATCGCCACTATGGACTATATAACGTTCTCCCAACTCATAAATTCCCCGAACCAGTATCGAACACAGAAGTCTATCTTTTTACTCAGAAAAAGACCTCATCAGGCACAAATTACGCAATGTACTGCTCACCTACGAAATCGATAAGCGAGATAGTACAAAATATTCAAGGGCTGAGTACCCAAGGAATTCAAGCTGAATCCATAACCCCCGGACATTCTCAGATGATGCAAAAGTGTTTGCAAAAAATCAGGTCATCTAAAGATCCATTACTATCGGAACTACTTCCTAGCAAAAAGAAGGATAGCCCATGCACAAGTAGCATAATATTCGATCTAGTAATCATGCAGCAAATAAAGTTGGTTGGCAATAACTATTTTCCTCTACCGATGCGCGAGATAAATGCGCACAAAATCAGCGCAGATACGCACATGGCTCTGAAGGATGTTTTACCCAGAGGAAGTATGTTACTAACTGCATCCAAAAATAAAAAGGACAAAGCACTCGTTTGGTATAATGGGCGTCTGATACTGCTAAGGGGTTCGAAGGAGAAAAGCAAAAGATACTGGGCACCCCATAATAATATTGATGACGTGTGGGGGGGTATTGACTGCATCATTGAATTCATGACTGATGATTTTCCTGACACAACAAATATTATCAGAAAATTTAACTACATGAGTGATTACGTGCGAACTTTTGGTAGCATAGAGAGATCGGAGAGCAACGCTGAAACCCTAGACTCTGGAGATGTTTACAGAAAGTTCGTTGATGGATCTCGGGGATCGCTACAACAAAGTTTATTCGAAGCGACCCCGGAAGGCTATGTTTGATATTGAAATTTATACGAATTGGAAAATAGCCTCTGTTGGGTTAATTATTCAGATCTGAATAGGTGGACTTGGTGAAAAGCGATAGTCGGTAATTACTTGACCCAATCCCTAATAAATAGGTCCTTGTCGGTAGACTGGATTATAGGCATAATACTGCCTAAGGCATACCAGATATGTACTCCACAATATGTTACAGTTTAACTTCAGTCTCTTAGGGTATCAAAAGTACAATTGTCAAAATGACTGGGGTCGGATCCCTGTACAAATTGATTAAATTGGTTTAGCCTTTATGCAGGCCCATGTCTAGTTTGTCGACTAGTTTTGCAAGCAGGGGTACTATCCAACGATATTCCGTGAAAGTCAAAATTAATGGGGACGCATTAACACCAAAAAAAATGTACAATGGTCCTCATTTAACATTAAAAATAAAAAAATCAATTGATATTATCTACAAATACACATCTATTTCAAAAATAATCGCTCTATATTACAAAAGTATACATCGAAGCCCTCGGTATGGCTCGCAACTAAAATGAAAGCGTACTTCATGTTTTGTATAATTCTGCTCCTTCCCAATACTTTGTGAACCTTCCATTTTCCTTTATCACCGCTATACATCTTTCTTGCAAGTTAACCACACTTATCGGAAGCTTCTTCCAAGCAATGCATCTGCTGTAACCTATTTTATTGAGGGCATTAGAAATTAAACCCTCACTGCATCCCCTGTGGCTGAAAGGACCCATTGCTAGTTCCAAATAGCACATCTGTCGATTTTCAGGAGATTCCCAGACGAAAACCTCAAGCTCATCAACTTGTTCCACGCTTAATTTAGGTGAGCTTACTTTGCGGGATATAGGATTCTCAGTCTCTCGAGCACACGTAAAATGCACTTGCCTTCTTGTGAAGCTAAGTTCGTCGGATATATGTTGTAATGTCAAGCCAAGTCTTCTTAATGTTCTTCTTTTAATACATTGATCGCGAGTTATATGCTCGCGAACTTTAGTTTCTGAAGCAGACTTTTCGAGAGATATTGTTTGCTGGAATAGTGGATGAATTGATAGTGGTGTTAAGATTCATGGACTGTGTAGGTTAGGCAGCCAAAAATGTCGTAGAAAATGTGTTTCTCTAACCGAATGTTAGAAGAAGACGATTGGACCATACTTCATGGCAAGCGGGGTTAGGAGGAGAGACATACTAACCTGTTACGAGCTAGCTCAACTGCGCCTACAGGGCTAATCCCTTAAACATCCCAGTTTCGAGGTTAACATTTTATATCCCAGAGGCAATGTACATATACATAATTAGGAGATAACAACCTCTATAAGATTTTGTTTGTATCGGAATACGTCAAGTGGATAGATTCTATGGAAAGCTTGTTGTAAAAATATTGGTACCAATTCATTCTTCTCACTATCTCCTTCCCTCCCAAGTACCAACTAATATTTACATAGAAGGGGCATTTGCTTCTTCCCCGCGCTTTTTTTACATGAGGCAACATTACCCGACCAGATCACATAGAAGGCCTACATGGAGGAACAAAAGGAAATACAAACTGAAGAGGCCTGGATGGGCGACTGGATGAGGCCTCCGGAGGGCAAGACTGAACACCTGTACGCGGTGTCCTCTACGAACCTGGGAGTGAAATATTCTCCCAGAGCCAAGTTCAGTCAAATTTCGCAATATCAAAGAAGTTGGCCCACGAGGCAAAAATTCAAATTACTCCACCATGTCAATCTTTCACTCCCAAAGAGTCCGATTCTCAACTAAGCTTCATCAAGTCTACAGGTACGACCTAGTACATCTTCGTTTCAATGACCACACCTCTCGTCGACTTTCTCTGGCCTCAGCCGGTCACCAAATACACGCCCACGCCGATATTTATACCCGACGGAGGAAGCAAAGCGTGGAGCACAATTTTGGGAGATAGCTCTTTGGGACGGACGTGAGAGGGATCAGGACAAGTTCACAAGATGATGCAGAAGAGGGATACGTTTTCGACGGGCGTGGAATTTTGAATTTTGGCAAGAGTTTTACGAATTGGGCTTTGTGCGTGCCAAGACTTCGCTTGTGAGAGTGCAGCTGACACTATAAAAACAAGCAAACGATGGAAGGTGTTGTGGTCCGCCTCCTGGTGATGTTCTCTGGTATGGTTTGAGTAGCCTGGGTACCTACTCCACTTGGGAAGGAGACATCTCAGATTACATTTCGCGCGGAGAAAAGTTGATGGATGACAGAGGCATGTCTGGATAACTCAGGGTTTTTGAGACGTTCCCCTGGGTGGGTATTCACGGATGAGGGTTGACTTGGGGTGAAGAAAAAGCCACCATAACTTCGCGGTGGTACTTGCAAATGAAATCCGAGGCATGAGTGCTACTATTATAAACTGAGTCATCTTTTCTGTACTTTTCTCTGATATTGTGTCATAGCTAGATAGCTGCATACGCAATTAAAATCTGATGCAAAAAAAAAAAAAAAAAAAAAAAAAAAGATGAGGCCTCCAATGAAGAAAACGACCCCTGGATGAGATGAGGAGATGCTGAGTTAAGCCAAAGCTGGGACTGAATGGAAGAGAAAAGTTACAGATGGCGAAGCCGTCAAGGGCTCGGGCGCGTGGTGGCCGAGGCTGAGGAGAAATTTGAGCTTCGGCGCGTCAAGAGAGGGTTCTCTGGACGGTTGGGCTTAACATGATTCGATACGTGGGTGAAGTCTGAGATAGTCCGGACATTCAGGTGGGACGAGGTAGATGTACTTAATGATAGTTAACCTGATCCAGCCCAATCCCACCCGTGCTTAAGCTCCAGTAGGAATGCAACGGCAGTTGCTTTACCTGGTTTGTTTGTAATATATTACGTCTAATTAGAGTGAACCTTAGCCCTTTGCTCTATACACCCAACCGGGTAAAGGACGCCAGAGCTTACTACTCTGGATGCCTGAGGCGCCCATATTCCCAAACATAAGAAATAAGACCTATTTAACTAATCTATGTGTCTGTGAGGGGGAACCCAGCACAAAACTACCCATGGTTGTAAAATAAAACTAAGTATACAGTGCCGCATAGTATATCCCAGAAACGCTAATTGGACCTTCTTCTAAAACAGATGATTTGAACTAAGAGCACACAAGGGTGCTATTATAACGTGTCTACTATTGTGTCCTTGGGGGGGGGGGGGGGGAATCTGAGACTTTGCCTAGTACATTATTGAAAAAACCAAACCATACCAGAGTCTTGTTCCACGGTCACGTGTATCTACTTTGATGTGACCTAAGGCATTCACCGTGGGAAGTTACATGGATAACATAACAGTGGGTATTCACGAGTGAGGGCCGACTTGGAGTGAAAAAAGCCGGCATAACTTCGCAGTGGTACCTGCAATTAAAATCCGATGCAAACCACTAATGCAAACTAGACTCCACTTGGTAGACCAGCCGAAATGATGCACCACCATGCCACCCAGCTAAGCCGGTGTTTACAGTGTTGCCTGCACCCTCGTAAACGAACTCGTGTAGAGCACAATGTGTAATGCTGAAATTTAGAAGCAATTATCCAAAAATTAATATGTAATCCACCCCTAAATTGTATCCAAGAATTGCATTGTCTTATTCTCTTGTCCTGGTCTCTCTCACGCCCATCCCACAGAACTGCCTCCTAAACTTGTGCGCCACGATTCTGTACTCCCACGGGTATTCATATTGTCGTGGGCGCATATTTAGTGGCCAAAGAATTATTGATAAGAGGTGTGGTCATTGAAATTAGGATGTACTTGGTCGCACTTGCAAAATTCATGAGGTTTTGGCAGGCTGAGATTGATGTGGTAGGGATTATTGACTCATTGTCTTGTGGGCCAATTTCTTTGGTATTGTGAAATCTGACTGAAGTTGGCGCTGGGAGATTATTCCACTCATACATCAGAGGATACCAGCGACAGGTGCCCAGGTATCGTCCTTTGATCACACAACAAAACAGCTACAACGCACGACAAAATTAAATCTTTGCCCTCGAACACATCGTCAAATTCTGTCGCCTGAAAAGTGATTCCCAAGAGCTTCGGCAACGCATCCCAGCTCTTGCTAATTTTAATAGCCCTCAAATCTTCTAGAAATCTATCTTGCATGGCCGACGGCCGAGTGAAGAAAAGATCCTTACGAATCCAAAGTGGACTCATTTCGAGGCTCATTTCTCTGAGTGAAGCTAGTTAAATGAGTCTGACAACGATATGGCAGATACTTGCTCACAGTCCACCGAGATGTGTATGCACGTATAACTGAGTCATTTACGATGTTGAGTATTCCAAGACCTGCGGTACCTAGATATCGAGCAAGGTTACTCGGATCCCACAAAATTTAAATATATATATTACAGGTAACTTTCTCCACATCATTGTCCCTGAGAGCCTTCCACTCCTCTTCTTCACGAATAGACTCGTCCAGTCGTGTATCGTCAGCTTTGGCCGAATCTAGGGATCTCATCCTCATATCGCGGACGGGAATCCAACAAATTAACTACTATCGCTTGTCTCATTATATCACTAAATTCAAACAAGAAAAAATTGAATGATTGAGCAAGAGAACAGCTCGGAAAATTCCTCACTATACAGCAAGTGCAGCATATCTTGAAAGTGCCCACCATGAGTTGTGTTTTCGCAATACTTATGGCGGTCACGGGGCGTATGCTCATGACGGGGCGTATGCTCATCACGGGCTTTAATTCTCATGAGAGTTACTATAGACTCTACAACAATCTCCCAAGTTATGAATTCCCCGAACCAAAACTGAACGCAGAAGTCTATCTTTTTACCGAGAGCAGCGGCTTGTCTAGCAAAAAGTACGCAATGTACTGCTCACTTGAGAAATCGATGAGCGAGATAGTACAAAATATTCAAGGACTGAAACTTCAAGAAAATCATTCCGGATCTACAACCCTCGCATTTTCTCGAGCAAAGGAAGACTGCATGCAAAAAATCACGTCGTTACGTAAAGAGCCATTGTTATCGAATCTACTT